TCCCCCAGGGGCTCCCGGTCTCCTCTCACAGCTCGGTGGCTGCCCCTGCTGTGTCATGGGATGGGGGGGGGGTCAGCCTTTTGGGGAGCACCTGGGAAAGGAGCAGAGGCACCGGGCAGAGATGCTGTGGGGAGCCAGGACTCGCTTTCTGCAGGGTTCTGGGTGAAGCCAGTGACCGCAGCGTCCCGTCCATTCTCTGCCCCACAGAATCCCTGTGAAAGCATACGGGGCCACCCGGCAGGCATGACGTACGCAGCCAACATCCTACCTCATCACCCGGCCCGGGGCACCTTTGAGGACTTCACCTGCTAACCGACGTCTGGATGTACAACCTGAGCTACCAAAGCCCTCCGGAGAGCTGCCCTTCTCCCTGCCAGCGCCAGCGGAGAGACACATCTAGGGGACCTTGCTCCTCGCCACAGTGGGACACGGACAAGAGCGACGGCCTCGGATTTCGGGGCAGGCGGAGGGGTCGGGTGATGCTCGGACCTGGCGCACGGCCCCCGCGGCGCCTGCCCCGCTCGTTCAGAGACTGGAGGAGGCTCCAGCCCGGGCACCCTCGCGGCGCGGGGAGCGACACGCACAGCGGGCTGGGGCACGGGGCTGCCCCGTCTCCTCCCCTCGGCTCCCCTCGGCCTTTTTAACTAGAAACCCAGAAGCCAAGAAGAAGCAGCCATTTGGCTGCAGAGTCTCCATCCACAGCCCTGTCCGTCTGTCTGTCCATTGTCTCCATGCCCATCCTGCTCCAACACTTTGGCCGGCGCTTGCTGGGACCCCCATGCCCGGCAGGAGGGATCGTCGAGGAGCCCCACAGCGTGGCCGGCAGTGGGTCCGGCTGTCCCAGCAGAGTCTGGCTGTCCCCTGGGACCGCGGTGGCCCTGCAGCCCACCCTCACCTGGCCACTCCATGCGCATGAAGACAGGCCACCTTCACCCCTCCAAAATGTCTTCCTTGGCACCCTGCCCCAGGGACTGCCATGCCCAGCACCCACCGAGCTCACTGGCCGGCCACGAGCACCAGAGGGGACTCGGCCGGGGGGTGCCACCTCGGCACGGCAGACCCCGCCACCGGGCACTCTCCCTCGGCCACGTCGGGCCAGGCAACGGCGTGGTGTCCCTACCTGTCCCTCCTGGGCTCCGTGCAGCTTGGCCAGCCTTGCCCTGCCCCACAGTCCCTTCTGTCCCCAAGGGGTCTGGGGCTACTCCGTGTGGCCCCCCAAAACAGCCATCCTTGGGGAGAAAGGTGGAAGGAAAACTCCTGGCCCCCATTTCAGCTGCGGCCACTGGCCCAGCTGGACCAGGGCCACCACGAGGGACAGCCCCTTGGCACCACTTTGGCCGGGTGGGCAGAGGAGCCCTGGCACCAGGAGGGTTCGTAGGTTGAGGGACACCCCATGGCACAGGGTGCTCTGGTCCACGGGACCGTGGGCCCCGCTGAACCCCCCGAGAGCAGCTGCCCCCGGGCACCACGAGCCCTGGGCATCCTCGGGGCATCTGCTGGCTCGCTGCCCTGGGGCCACCGCTGGCCTCCCCCCGGCACACGGAGACCTGCGCTGGCAGCCAGGCTCTGGCCCCTGGCTCTGGCCACGTCTCTGCTCCCTGGGACCGCAAGTGCACCCCCATTTCACTCTGGGGTCAGTGGAAATCGGCCTCCACCAGCCCCTGCCAGCCCCCAGGCCCCACACATCAAGCAAGAGCCCTCCCAGGGCTGAAGTGCTACTTATCTTTAGGAGCTTTTGCAATAAGTCTTTTTGGTAATTATTATTTCTAAACGGCAGTTTTGGTTTTATTATTGTCATTTTTATTATTATTTGCTTCCTGACCAAAATTAGGAACTGGGGGTTAGTCCTTTTTATCCAGCAATCGCCCAAAGATGACGGGTCGGCCACATCCATAAATTTTCTTATGGATTTTTCCTAACATTTCATTGTGTTTCATTTATTTATTTTCTTTCTTTCTCTTTCCCATTAAAGCTTTTAAAGATGGGGCTGGGATTTGACCTTGATGCTCACCTGTTGAAGAATACACTTTTTTGTTTGTTTCTATTATGTCATCTGCATTTTATATTTCTTATATATAATATATATGACTATATATATATGTGTACATATATATATATATCTCTATATATGCATCATATCAGTGTAGATACCCATCTAGTAGCATTTAGGCCTTGTTCTTGTGCCATTTTTTTTTTTCTGTTACTGATCTCTGAATGCCTTCAAGTGTATAAAGTGTTGAATTCTCTCTGGTATCTGTACTATGTACACACATTTTCATAGGAAGCACAATAAGATGACAGATGCATTGTACATCAATACCTGCTACTCTTAACGATGATATAAAGAATGATATAACTCACGAAGGCTGAGCCTTTCTCTCGCGCAGAGCTGCTGGGAACACTCCCCAAGGAGGCCACTGGGGATGGCATCAGAGAACCAAGGAATCACAGAATGGTTAGATTTGGAAGGGACCTTAAAGATCATTGAGTTCCAGCCCCCCTGCCCTGGGCAGGGACACCTCCCACCACACCAGGTTGCTCCAAGCCCCATCCAGCCTGGCCTTGAACCCCTCCAGGGATGGGGCATCCACAGCTTCCCTGGACAACCTGTTCCAGTGCCTCACCACCCTCACAGTAAAGAATTTCTTCTTCATATCTAATCTGAATTAGAAGGGCAACGAAGCTGGTGAGGGGTCTGGAGCACAAGTCTTACGAGGAGAGGCTGAGGGAGCTGGGGGTGTTCAGTCTGGGGAAGAGGAGACTGAGGGGAGACCTTATCGCTCTGTACAAGTACCTGAAAGGAGGCTGTAGAGAGGCAGGGGTTGGTCTCTTCTTCCAAGTTACAGACAATAGGACAAGGGGTAACGGCTTCAAGTTGCACCAGGGGAAGTTCAGGTTGGATATTAGGAAACACTTCTTTACTGAAAGGGTTGTCAGGCATTGGAATGGACTGCCCAGGGAGGTGGTGGAGTCACCATCCCTGGAGGTATTTAAGAAACGTGTAGACATGGCTCTTCAGGGCATGCTCTAGTGCCCAAGATTACTGGTTTGTGGTGGGATGTTGTGTGGGTGGGTGATGGTTTTGGTTTGGTTGTTGTTGTTGTGTGTTTAGGTGGTGGGTGGGGTTTTTTTTGTTGTTGTTTTGGTTTGGTTTTTTTGTGGTTGGACTCGATCTCTGAGGTCCCTTCCAACCACTACGATTCTGTGATTCTGTGAATCTCCCCTCTTCCAATTTAAAACCATTACCCCTTGTCCTGTCACTGCACTCCCTGACAGAGTCCCTCCCCATCTCTCCTGTAGCTCCCTTCAGATACTGGAAGGCTGCTCTAAGGTCTCCCTGGAGCCTTCTCTTCTCCAGGCTGAACAACCCCAGCTCTCTCAGCCTGTCTTCATAGGGGAGGTGCTCCAGCCCTCTGATTATCTTCGTGGCCCTCCGCTGGACCCGTTCCAATAGGTCATCTTGGTTGGAAGGGACCTTTCAGACCATCGAGCCCAACACTGACAAACCCCATCATTCCAGGATGTTCTCAAAGACATCGCTGAGCTCCTGGAGCACAGACCAAGAGGTTGGGGGTGGGAGGGAAAGCTTGGGTCCAGACCTCCAGTGCTATCTGTGAACGCGCACATGAAAACCAGCAACACCAGAGCTGGTGCTAAGAATATGAAGACACCGCTGAGCTCCTGGAGCCAAGACCAAGAGGTTGGGGGTGGGAGGGAAAGCTTGGGTCCAGACCTCCAGTGCTATCTGTGAACGCGCACATGAAAACCAGCAACACCAGAGCTGGTGCTAAGAACAGTCAATAAACGCGTCCCTTTGCTAATTGCTGCGTTAATGGGAGTAGTCACACAAACGTGTCCCTTTGCTAATTGCTGCGTTAATGGGAGGGTGGCTCTGGGGACCGACGCTCCAGCTCCTGCCTGGCCCTGTGCTGCCATGTCAACGTGTCCCCAGGGACACCTCAGAGGGTGGCTCTGGGGACCGACGCTCCAGCACCTGCCTGGCCCCGCGCTGCCATGTCAACGTGTCCCCAGGGACACCTCAGGGCTGGAGGATGGGAACCGACTTTTGCTCTCAAGCAGGGGGAGGAGAATTAACATAAGCACAGCTGCTGAGCTTCGACAAGTCTAACACTTCTGTGGTTTGGGACAGACACCTGAGATTCAGCAGAAATGAGTCACTCGCTTGAATATCACCTGTTTTTCATTTAACCAAGTTAGTAGCAGTTGTAGCACGAGCTGGATCTAAACCCACTTCTCGTCCTAAAAATCTCCAGCTACGCAGAGCAAAAGCAACACACCAGATCCAACATCCAAAAAAGCCCCCAGGACCTCACAGAGACTGCATGAGTGAGAGGGCAGGGGGCAGGGAACACTGAAATGCCAAACTCCCCGCGGTCACTGGGCTCTGGCCACGTCCCTCTTGCTCCTGGAAATGGCAGACGGGCGCTTTGCATTTAAACTGGAATGGTCTGCCTGCTATTCTGGTCCTTCTCTGCCAGAGCTGGTGCTGCAAAGGCCACAGGGTGGGCTTCGAATAGGAGCGAGATAATATCGCTAAGCCCAGAAGGGAGTTAATAAACCCTAATTAATTGCAGCCAGCCCCTGTGAGCAGCCAGAGAAGCTGACCCTGCCTGCTCCCCCCACAGTGGCTCCTGTCGCAGGGGCAGGCACTGACCCATCTCTGCAAGCTGTAATCTCTTCCACAGCTTCCCATTAACCTGCCGGGCCGTGCTGGGAGGAGGCCACCCCATCCATCTGTCCCAGCCTGGCATCGCTGCCTCCCCGGCCCCGGCACCTCCGAGGTTTCCGCTGCCACCGGACACGGTGTCGGAGCCGCAGCCCGGAGCTGGCAGAGGGACCCAGCAGAGACGATGCGACTCCCGTGGGTGCACAGTGGGAAGCCACACAGGACCCCAACCCCAGCAGCTTTCAGATAGGAAGCGGAAAAGCTGCACAGAAGCTCTACCTGAAAGCCCTGGGGCTGTTCAGCTGGAGAAGAGAAGGCTGAGGGGAGGTGTCTCATTGATGCTGAGCAATATCTGAAGGAGGATGGGGCCAGACTCTTCCCAGTGGTGCCCAGTGACAGGGGCAATGGGCACAAACTGGGACACGGGAAGCTTCATGTGAACACAAGGAGGAACTTCTCTGCTGTGAGGGTGGCAGAGCCCTGGGAGAGGCTGCCCAGAGAGGGTGTGGGGTCTCCTGCTCTGGAGAGATTCCAAACCAGCCTGGATGAATCCAACCTGCTCCGGGTGACCCTGCTGTGCCAGGGGGTTGGAGGAGATGATCTCCAGAGGTCTCTTCTAACCCTGGCCATTCTATGAGTCTGTGATTTTCAAAGTCAAGGCTCTCCTGTGCGTGGTGGGGCCAGGGACCTCCAGCCTGTCCAGGATCCCGGCGGCTCAGGGACGGGCACAGGATGCCCAGGGCTGGCAGGCAGCAGGGCGTGCGGTGCCAGCGGCGCGTGTGCGTCCCCGTCTGTCGCTCAGTGGTGTGAGACCCAGGCTGTGCACGAGACAAGGAGTTAATTACATTTCACGGGAGGCATCTCTGCTGATCCACGCGAGGGCCGGGTGCGACACTCCCAGCCCTGGGATGCTGGGAGGCACCTGCTCGCACGCTGCTGTATTTACCGTGCGGATCATGTGGCTGCTGAAACCCTACAGAGGAAGGATTAATCATGCATCACACATGAAACCACGGCAGAGATAGCATCACCTCTTCTCCTCCCTGGCAATAATTCCTGGTTACCGCTCACTCAGCGCCGAAGCTGCCAGCAGAAACAGGCGCTGAGATATAATTACACGGCGCTGGATGGTGTTCGGCTGCCAGGAGCCAGAGCTGGGCTGGTTGGGGAGGAGGTTTCAGAGGAGCCTGGTGCCATCAGGTGCAGTAAAATGAAGGTGCAGGGGGGGTAGCATTTCACAAACCATTTCCACTGGGAGGAGCAGAACCAACCAAACCCTCAGGGCAGAGGAAAGGAGAAAGGACAAGTGTAAGGAGACACTGAGCCAAGGAAGCTGGCATTGTTTTCTCCTTGTGTTTCTTACAAAATGCAGCCGGCGCCAGGGGACAAAGAGGACTGGGCAGAGAGCATCCCTGGGGACAGAGGGCTGGGGTCGCTCCCAGCTCAGCTCATGAAATGTGGGGTCTCTTGAGACCCCACAGCCCCCCTGTGCCGAGCTGAGCATCTCTCTCTCTGCCCTTTCCCCACTAACGAGGCGATCCCTTGCCTTCTCTCTTGCTCCCACCCCACCTCACCCTGCGTGTCCCTCCTGGGAGAGCCAGGCAGCTTTCCAGCCTGCCCAGAGGCTCCTGCCAGGCTTTAAGGCTCAGTCAAAGTAGTATCTGAACAATATGGAGCAGATAAGTTCCACTGCTTTTCCTCCCCATGAATATTTCATCAGGCTGCTGGGCGCCAAGCCTGTCGGAGGTGGCATTAAATTAACTGCACGGACACATGGATGCTGAGACAACAGTTAATGGCCACGCTCAAAGCTTTGCAGGTTTCATCCAGGGTAGGAAATGTCGTATCTGGCAGAAAAGGTGCCAACACATCCCCACTTCTTTGCTCAGTCAACAACGCCATGCACTGTACAGGACAGCCTCCACAATGACCCACATGATCATCATTAATTGCTTAATTAATACTTGTGGTGTGACTGCTCACTTGGTTTTTCTCACAGATTAATGCTGGCTGGATTCGCGTCCCTTTTTCTGAGCAACCGCAGGGGTAAGTGCTCCAGGGAGTCGGGAACTTAATGCTAATATTTGCAGAAAGTGGCCTTTAATTCTAACATTGTGCTTTCTGCAGCAACTCTCAGGGGAGAGAGAAATCCTTTTCCTGGGTGCTCAGCCAAAACCTGAACGAACTGACTCCATTTATGTCCATTTATACCTCAATAAGCTCGCTTCTTAAGATGTTAAGGACGGCAGTCCTGGTGAGAGGTGTCACTGCCAGGTCTGCACCCCGGAGCCCTCCACCCCCGGGGAGACAGACCCACAGGGATGGGGCTTTGCCCGGTTCCTCCCAGCACAGCCCAGAGCGAGGGGGGCATCAGGACCAGCAACTCCTGAAAGAGGCACACGTTTATACCAGTGAGGGCTACGGCTACAGCCCAGCAAGCACGGGATGGACACCCCAACCTCCTCGGCTCCAGGGTGGCTCTGACGGTAACGGCTCCTGCGCAGTAACGCGGGGGCTACAGCAGAAGTCAGCCGGGCTCAGCGAGGACAGGAGGGATCAGATGGAGCACGATGTCAGCCCAGGCAGGTGGAGGAGCCCCTGAGGGGAGCTCGATGGCTGCTCACCTGGGGGTTCAAGAAGCTGCAAATTCTCTTACAGGGAATTTTGCACAGAGAGGAGAGCCCTGAGCCCCCCTCTGCTGCCTCTTCCACCCTGCTCCGAACACCCACAGGACCATTCCTCCTGGACTGTGTGTCCTCCACTCCCCATTCCCCTTGGACTGTGCGTCCTCCACAGGCTCCCCATCATCCTGCACCCTCCCACATAGCCTCTGAACCCCCCCAGCCCCCTGCACCCCCCAATATACCCCCATGGTCCCAGCAACCCCACCAGGATGGTGCCCCAACACCCCCAACACCCTGCACATCCCCATATACGCCCATGGCCCCAGCGGGGCTTTGCCCGGTTCCTCCCAGCACAGCCCAGAGCGAGGGGGGCATCAGGACCAGCAACTCCTGCAAGAGGCACACGTTTATACCAGTGAGGGCTACGGCTACAGCCCAGCAAGCACGGGATGGACACCCCAACCTCCTCGGCTCCAGGGTGGCTCCGACGGTAACAGCTCCTGCGCAGTAACGCGGGGGCTACAGCAGAAGTCAGTCGGGCTCAGCGAGGACAGGAGGGATCAGATGGAGCACGATGTCAGCCCAGGCAGGTGGAGGAGCCCCTGAGGGGAGCTCGATGGCTGCTCACCTGGGGGTTCAAGAAGCTGCAAATTCTCTTACAGGGAATTTTGCACAGAGAGGAGAGCCCTGAGCCCCCCTCTGCTGCCTCTTCCACCCTGCTCCGAACACCCACAGGACCATTCCTCCTGGACTGTGTGTCCTCCACAGGCTCCCCATCATCCTGCACCCGCTTTTCTTCTCTCCGCAGCGCCCCGGGATGTTACCGGGCAGCCGGCTGGCGCCGCAGGGCCCCTCCATGGGGCCGCCCGGTTACGGCGGGGGGGC